ATGGATTTGTCCCTTTTGAAATGGCCAAAAAGTACCTATTAAATCATGGTTTAGCTACTACAAGCCTTAAGTGGTCTCATGTCCATGTCATAGCTATTCATGTGAGGGTGTAAATTTCACTCACTTTGAGCCATCTGTATAACAAAGTATATAATACTCATATCTTTATGTGAGTATGGAAATAAAATATGTTCAGGGCTATAGCTATTAAGTATCTACTTGTTGGTCTCTCTGTTGAAAATTTAAATACAATAAAATGCACTTATGCATGACCTACACTGGCTATTAATCTTTAGGAAAAAGAGAAAGCTGTAGATTCAACTAAAATATTCTTTTCAGTAGCCACTTGAAAATTTCATCTTCCCTGTGAAATGGACATGACCAAACTAGCATTTCCTCATGATGGTGCTCTAAGCCATAGATTTACTATTACATATGAAGTGCGCGTGTCTAAGCTCAGTTGGGAAGGGGCCATTTTGACTTTGGGAAACAGAACACTTTGGAACCAAAAAAATTCTGGCTATTGTAGAAGCCAGTTATACAAACAGGTTGAGGGCAGGTGTATGCTTACTAGAGATGGTGGATACGTTTTTAAAGTGGTCGTGTTAGAATGATGTTGTAACCATCATGGTCCAGGAATTATGGAAGAAGCAAGGATTCCTTAGGGTGGTATCTTTCACTGGGCCAACAGTTAGACGAGCTTTTGAATGAAAGACCTGATGAAGAATGTCTTGCATTCAAAAGCTTGTCTACATCCATCCCAACTATGCAGTTGGCCCAGTGAAAGCTACCACCCTAAGAAATCCATATCTTTTGAATGAATTGTTTGAATTTTATTTTTTGCTTTACTTACCCAGCCTTATGAATTTGGCCAATGAGGCAGGGTGCATATATTTAGTATTTATTCAAAATATAATTAAATTTGTCAAATTACTAAACACGTTTGACTAGCTATTAATACTGAAACTGGGTCTGCCTCTAGAGTACCTTATTGGAAAGTTGCTGATAAAGATTATTTCAGTTTATCAAATTCTGTTTGTGTGGTGTTTCAACTTGGACTGTCTTTGGACAGCCAAGGAAGTGGGATAAAACATTATGAAAAATATGATAAAATATAAAGACATTTCTTATGAGGCTTGAGAATGTGAATAATGTAGATCTGCTTGTTTGTCCTTTGGATGTGGGGGAAAAAAACCATCGCCCTGCAGCCAGTCATTCCCCTCTAGCACTGGTTAAAGCAGGTGTCTGGAGGGCCACTTAATGAGTTTTGGTGAGGTGTCGAGGGCTACAACGATAGCCGTGCCCCTTGACAGGTGCCTCATCTCTGGTTTCCATTTTATGACAAGAAGTTGGGTGCCCTAAACCTTGACCTTTGCCACCAGAAGTCTGTCTCCTTGCCCCAAGAAGTACTCCTTTTGGGGGGGGGGGTTGCTTGTATATTGT